ACAACCTCCCTGGGCAGCCCGTTCCAGGGCCTAACCACTCTCCTTGTATAGAACTTCCCCCTAACATCCAACCTAAATCTTCCCTCCTTCAACTTGGATCCATTTCCCCTAGTCCTGCTGTTGTCAGCCCTTTTGAAGAGTTTACTCCCCTCGTGGGTGTAGGTTCCCTTCAGGTATTGATAGGCTGCAATGAGGTCACCCCGCAGCCTTCTCTTCTCCAGGCTGAACAAGCCCAACTCCCTCAGCCTGTCCTCATAGGGGAGGTGCTCCAGCCCCCTGATCATCTTAGTCGCCCTCCTCTGGACCCTTTCCAAAATCTCAATGTCTTTCTTGTACTGAGGGCTCCACACCTGGACACAGTACTCCAGATGGGGCCTCACAAGAGCCGAGTAGAGAGGGACGATCACCTCCCTGTCCCTGCTGACCACCCCTCTCCTGATGGAGCCCAGGATCCCATTTGCCTTTCGAACATAACTGAATGTCCTGTTCTTTTCCAGTTCTCCTGGTCTGGGAGCAGGCATGATTAGCATGGACTTGGGTAGAGCTGACTCAATATTTGAATATACCGATGTTCTTGTGTAGCGCACTGGATAGGATGTAATTTTATGGAAGATGGCAAGACTGGAATGTTTGGACAGAGCCAGTCCTAGCAGTGCAGGAGATGAGAACAGAAGTGCATTTTTTAAATGTTGCTTGTGTCTTGTCCATGATTATTGTGGAAGTTTTGCATACTTTAGAAGAAATGCATTAATAATGACAGTAACACAGCAAGGGTTCTGTGGTGCACACAGTATCTTTCACAGTACTCACCTGAAAGCATAATGTCTCTGTGTCTTACTGCATTTGAAAACACGTTGGAAGAAAATGTATACAACATTTTCACAGTGTGTGTGTGTGTCTTCACATCCTTTTACAGCCAAACACAATAATGTGATTAAAATTAGCCTGATGTATTGTAGAGACTGGGGAAGTCATTTCATTAGTGCCTGTGATCAGCTGGCCAAGGATGAGACAGGAAGCCTGAGAAGAGAATTTGTCCTGTTGTGGCATTGCTGCCATACTTATGTGTGTTGGAGTGAATAGAGTAGGAACCTTGCTCACTTGAACTCTCTCTGCATGAAAATTTGCCATTCATTCACACATAGATACAGCTTACACTGAGACTCCTCTGAGGTACTGCTTGTGCAGCACTTGGTACTCATCTTTCAAGGCTACAGAATGAAGGCATCCATGGTTCATCCAGTGGCTGAAAGGAACAAGGTCTGTACTCTTATCAGGTGTTTAACCATTTCCTTTTTGTGAGAACATTTTTCCTTTGGAACCAACAAAACCATTTTTTATTGCCTGAAAACAGCCATCCATTTTGCTTTGTTATAGGTTTAGCAGGCACACCCATTCTGGCCCTTTCTCTGAGACAGCAAAATGCACAAAGGCTTGGCGCAGCTCCTGTGTGCCACATCACAGTGCGTTGTTGTTTTTAGATTGCATTCTTGATCCTCATTTGTCTTAACATATCAATAAATGTCTCCAAAGATCCACTTATAATGCTGGGATTGTGTTCATGGAGTGTTCATTGTGTTGTTTTAAGGAGAAGTCACATGCAAAGTCAGCTCCACATGCAGCCTTGAGCTTATTGGAGTGGCAGCGATGCACAGTTCACACTGACAGGCTAAGCTGAGGAGCATGTGAATTTGGTTCTCCTGGATGGGACATGAGCCAGCAATGTGCCCATGCAGCCAAGAAAGCCAACTGTACCTCAGGCTGCATCAGAAGAAGTGTGGCCATCAGGACGAGGGAGGTGATCCTGCCCCCCTCCTCTGCACTGATGAGGCCTCACCTGGAGTACTGCATCCAGATGTGGAGTTCGCAGTACAGGAGGGACATGGACCTGTTGGGCCATGTCCAAATGAGGGCCGCAAAAATGATCCAAGAGATTGAACACCTCTCCTACAAGGACAGGGGCTGTGCATCCTGGAGAACAGAAGGCTCCAGAGAAACTTGGTAGCGGCCTTTCATTATCTAAAGAGGAGCTGTAAGAAGGAAATGGTTGGATTCTTTAGTGCGGTCTCTTGTGATAAGACAAGGGGAAATGATTTCAAATTAAAAAATGAGATTTAAGTTGGATGTAAGGAGGAAGTTTTTTACAAGAAGAGTAGTGAGGCAGCGAGGTGGTGGATGCCCCATCCCTGGAGATGCTCAAGGTCAGGCTAGACGGGGCTCTGAGGAACCTGGTCTAGCTGTGGGTGTCCCTGTTCATTGCAGGGGAGCTGGACTAGATGCCCTTTAAAGGGCCCTTCCAACTCAAACAATTCTGTGATTTATTTCATTGTGAAGCTACTTACCTGCTGTAGGTGTTGTGGAGATGTTTAATGATGTGTTCTTTTAGTTATTTGTTATTGATGTTTTTCTGCTGAGTGATCTCAACACTGTTTCATGAAGGAGAAAAAATTATTTGTGATTCCAGTTTGGTGCTTATGACTTAACTTGCAATTTGCATGTCTTTCTAGAGAGTTTTTGAATTTTTATTTTTATTTATTTATTTTTTTTCTGTAGATGCATTAATTTTTAAGTCCTGGCACTTGCTAACAAACCTGTTTCTTCTTTCCTTATCCTACCCTTATGCTTTGAGCCCAAGGACAACTTTGGGTCAGGGGTTGCTTGACTTCAGCGGTGCAGTGATGGGAGAACCAGGGATGTCACTGCATAGGAAGGCAAGCAACCACACAAGCAGAGGAAAGGGTCTGGGAAGAAAGGGAGAACAGGAAAGTTGGTACAATGGAGTTTGAATTTGCAGGGACTGGGTGAAGGGACTCATACTCACCCAAGGCCAGGATGAGGGATGAAGGTATAAATGTATTTGGGGTTAGAATTTATGGAACAGGCAAGTGGATGCAAGTTGAGAAAATGGATGAGAAATTCCAAGTGTGGGAAGAAAACAGAGAAAAACTGGGAAACTACAGGCCGCAGAAGCTGGTGTGAGAGTGGATGCAAACCTTAGGGCTGGAGGGAGAAGGGTGACTAGCCTAGGTCAGGGAGCCATGGAAAGGTGACACTGCAAAGGACAGAGCCAGGAAGAGAATCTGGGGACAGAATACTGAATTTAGGAAGGAAAATTGGTAACATGGGGAGCTGCTCTGTCTCATTCCCTCCTGCTGGTGTTCAGTGGAGATCCTTCCTCTGCTTACCCTTGAGGCAGACCTGCTGGAAGGGGCTGTGTGCTTCTGTGCTTGGTGTATGTGTATTTACGTGTATTTTTGCTTCCAGTCTGACATTCAGTTGGCTATTTTCGGTGCATCTATAACTAAATACCACTCGGCATACCGAGACTCTGGTCTTCCAGCAGGAACATGTGGTCTGGACAGGGAGGGTTGTTTGTGTCCTTCAAGCAGTGGCTACACGGGCAGTGCTTACAGGAACGCGACAGCAGTGTGCTCTCTGCCTGCCCTGGTTGGCGTCCCACGCTCACCTGGTGCCGGGGAAGGCAGCGTCCCCACACAGCATCCTGCTTCGGGGCGTCCTGCAGCAGCCAGAAGCGTTAGAGATTGTCATGAAAGCAGTTATGCTGTCTGCAGACGGAGCAGCCTTCCTTAAGCATGCCAAGGAAACTGGAAAAACAGGAGCCTTTTTTTTCCCCCTCCTGAACCCTTTCAGTGCAACATTAAGTCACTTCCTGTAGTTGCAGCAAGCAGGTTCACCCCCCCCTTCAACCCCCCCCCCGAGGCTTATATTCCTTTAAGAGGACGCTGCGCTCCGAACGCAGCCTCGTTAGGAACTAACCCGTCGGCGGAGGCTGCTGGCGGGGCAGGAGCGGGGTCTGGGGCGCGGGGCGGAGCGGCGGCGCTGCGCCTTGCAGCCCTCCTCTGTTCCCCGGCCGCGGGCGCACGGTGGTGCGGAGTGCGCGGGGAAGAGCTGCTTTCCAGCGGTGAGAGCACAGCCTATGAAATCGCCTTGCCCTGCCAGGCCAGGTTTGCGCCGGAGTGGGAGCTTTTTTTCCGCATGGGGTGAGAAAGGAGCGAGTGGGAGACTCTGGGGAGCTGGTTTGTGGCACACGCAGCTGGGACAGCACGGAGCTGTACCGGAGGCCTAGCGATACGTGGCTGGAAACTTACAGCGTGGGGGCAGAGGCATGTGGCTAATTCAGGTAACCGGAAAGCTGGCTTAAGTTATTCCTCCGCTGCCTCTCATAACTTGCAGCAGTTGTTTTTCTCAAGTGGGACAGAAGCGGCAGGCTGTTTAGCAGCACTGCTCATAAATACTCAGCCTGCAGAAGCACAGCAGACATGGTACAGCTGCGTTCAGAGGGCTGTGGGGACGGAGCGAGTCCTGTATTTGGGCTGCAGGTACTTCTGGCTGTGGGACCACTGCTTTCTCTCATGGCTGAGGGGCTGGGGGTCCCTGCATGGGGACTCGGTGCTGACTGAGAACACTGGTAGAGTTAGCCAGCAAGAATGAACTGACATTGCTGCTCCTGCAGCTGTGATTCTCCAGGCAGTAGAACAACTGCAGATCTGTCTGACATCTAATGGCACCAGAGAGGGTTAGAGTTCTTGTTCCCGCAGCCCGTGAATTTACCCTCTGGACAAGTTGGTCTCCAGATGAGTCAAATGCAGCGTGCTCCTCGGATCTTCATCTGATGGCATATTGTGTGTGAAGGTGGTATTCCACAGGAAGGCTGGAGGGACTCGGGAAGGGATTGCTTTCATTTGCTTGCTGTGCCACTTCTGTACAGCTCTGGTAGCAGAAGTTATCAGTGTGTACATATGTATATATATATACTTTTGTGCACTTTGCAGCATTTGAAAAACTATTCATTAGCTTTTAGGAAGTTAAATGAGATGTAGTGCTGGCATTAAATCAGCAAGATGCTGTTTTGCTCTGAGCTGTGGCTGTGTTTCTGCATCCAGCGCTGTGTGCACCCATCCTGGTATGTTTGTGTCACTGCCTAGTTTACTGAGGCATAGTTTCTTACCCATATGCTCATTTTGTTTCTTTTTTTCCAGAAAAAGAGGAAGTTATTATAAATGGAAAAGATGAAAATGAACGGAAATACCCCTATTTTGTGGAAACACCTTATGGCTACCAGCTAGACTTGGATTTTCTGAAGTACGTGGACGATATACAGAAGGGGAATACCATTAAGAAATTAAACATCCAAAAGAAGAGGAAAGCAGTACCAGCCTCCACAAGCACCAAGAACTCTGGTGGCCATTGTGGCGACTGGACTTCCACAGAGTCTCTGTCTTCTTCAAACAGTGATGAGAACAAGCAGTCTTTCTTGGCAACAAGAAGTCAAGTAACCTCATCTGTGGCTGTGAGACCATTGGCTTCCCTTGAGGCATCTCCCTCCTATTTAACCATTCCCGAGAGTAAGCAGCTCCCTCCTCCTTCCCCACAGCTTCCTCGGCACAACCTCCATGTGACAAAAACCCTCATGGAAACACGCAGGCGACTTGAACAGGAGAGAATGATGCAGGTAATGCCAGGAGACATCCGTAGGCCCCGACTTTCCAGCTTTGGGGGCATGGGCTCAACGAGCTCCCTGCCTTCTTTCGTCGGGTCCAGTGGGTACGGTCACTTGCCTCAGCAGCTCCACAATGGCTACCAGGGGAATGGAGACTTCGGAGCCTGCTTTGGCTCCTCCTTGGGCAGTTCCATCCGGCACAGCCCAATGAGTTCAGGAATTTCCACACCTGTCACCAATGTGAGCCCGGTGCATCTGCAGCAGATCAGGGAACAAATGGCCATTGCCCTCAAGCGCCTCAAGGAGCTTGAGGAGCAAGTAAAGACCATTCCTGTGCTGCAAGTCAAAATCTCGGTGTTACAGGAGGAAAAGAGGCACATGATGGCAGAACTCAAAAGCCAAAGGAAATGCAGTCAGAATGACATGTATGGCTTCAGAAAAAGATCGTACAGTGCAGGAAACGTGGAGCAGTGGGAGCACCTGTCTCAGGTGCAAAGAGGAGGAGAACTTTATATTGACTGTGAGGATGAGATGGAGAGTGCGGAGCAGAGCTCTCGGAGGGTAGAGGAGTTCAGGCAGTTGACTGCTGAAATGCAGGCTCTGGAGAAAAAAATCCAGGACAGCAACTATGAGGTTCCATCGAACCTTAGAGAAAGCCTGACGAAAGAAAGCCGATCTGTTGCTGTTGGTGCTGATGAAAACATGAATGATGTGGTTATCTACAACAGATCTTCAAGGCAACATAGAGAAGTAGCGGTGGGGACAGAGAAAGAAATGAGAGAGTCGGGGGTTGGGGTGACGGAGGCCATGCTTGGCTTATCGACAGAAGTTGAGAAAGAAATAGAGCTTCAGCAGCAGACCATTGAAGCCCTTAAGGAAAAGATTTACAGGCTGGAGGTTCAGTTAAAGGAGACAACCCACGACAGGGAAATGACCAAATTAAAACAGGAGCTGCAGGCGGCTGGATCTAGAAAAAAAGTAGATAAAGCCGTGATGGTTCAGCCCTTCGTCGTCAGCAGAATGGTGGAGGCTGTGGTACAAATGAGAGACCAAATGGTGGGAGACCATGTGCATGTTGCTGATTCGTCTGTAGGCAGCCATTTGCAAATGAGCAGCGTGGGCACGTCCTGCAGGCCAGCGGTACGGAGCACAGCGGTGGGCCCTGAGCTGCTCATGAGCCGCTGGCTTGTGAGGGAGAGGGCAGAGATGCGAGACCAATGCACGGGGAGGTGCGTGGAGCTGCTTGACAAGAAGGTGGGTGTGGAGACCAGCGTCTGCGAGACTGGTGTCAACACGGAGGAGTCTGTGGGTGACCTGAGTCTCTGTAGGACAGTGCGGGAGATCCGGGAGACGAGGTCGATTGGCTGCGGGGATTGCTCAGTGGATGTGATTGTTTGTGCCCCAAAGGAGTGCGTCTCCCGCCAGACAGCCACAGAGTCTGTGTGCAGTGCAGAAGCCACAGTCATGGCTGTGCCTTCCACAGCTACGCAGCAGACCAGCACGGCTGTGGAGATGGTGAGCCGGTGCACCAGTACGGAGGCACTGGTGGCAGTGGACTGTGGCACCAATACTGTTCCAAGCAGCCGTGACCAGCAAACCAGCACAGTGAGTGTGGAGATGCGAACCGTGGCAGTTGGGGACGGCCGGGTGAAGGACATACATGCATCTGCTAAAACGCGTTCAGTTGGAGTAGGGACCTTGCTTTCCAGTCATCCTGGCTTTGAAAAACTCTCTGTGATAAAAACCAAAGACTGCGGTGTTGGGCAGATAAACATTAATGAGAACTATCTAGTTGGTCTTAAAATGAGAAGCATTGCCTGCGGTCCCCCTCCCCTGGTGGCTGTACCGACCAGTACCAGGAGCATTGGTGTTGGGGGTGAGCCAGTGTGCGAGTCCGTGAGCAGCATCCTGGAAAGCCCACTGCCTCCAGCTGAGCTGAGGACAGGCTTGGATCACTATATTGAGCGTGTGCAGAAGCTGCTACAGGAGCAGCAGATGCTGCTTGCCGAAAATTACAGTGAATTGGCAGAAGCCTTTGGTGAGCCACACTCCCAGATTGGATCGCTCAATTCACAGCTGATCAGTACCCTCACATCCATCAATTCTGTCATGAAATATGCCAGCACAGAGGAACTGCGGAGCCTGGACCTTCAGAAACAGTGCATGGAGAAAAGTACTGCACCAGGTAAGCTGAGTGTTTGGCATATGACTGTGCTGCTCCTTGCTGGCACGGTGGGTCTGTCAACTGTAAAAGCTTGCCATGTAGTGTTGAAGCGAGTGTGTAGTCCTCTCATATAAAGTGCAGAAGGTGGATTTGGTGTGGGGTGGACCTTTTCGTTGTTCTTTCCAACCCAGTGCTGGGGAGTGGATCTCAAGAGCGGGAAGCAGTTACCCATCTCACAGAAACAAGGCTCTGAAGGGCAGATGACTGGGTGATTTGAGTGCAGGACATACAAGAGAAGTATCTGTAGGTACACCACCCAAAGCATGGACTCCATTTTGTAACTGAATGTGTCAGAGTTATGGTCTGTCTGAAATGTTGTCTTTCCCTTAAATTTGGAATGCAGTTTTAAAAAGACGTGTAAGTCACGTTCAGCATTTGTGTCAAGCTAACTTGTTTCCAGAGTCTGCAGCGTATCTCCCATTTCCTCCATTCCTTATTCTTCGCAGCCAGGGAGCTGTGGGGTGCTTTCCTCTTTCCAACAATGTCAATTGCTTTATAATGGGCAACTCCAGAGCGGCTTCACAGAAACCACATCTTGCATTTTCTCTGTTCCAATAAGTGTTTGTCCTAATCCCTAATTAGGGCCTAATGTTTGAAAGGCATAAGCTTACTTTTGGAGGTTTTGGTGACAATCAGGAAAAGCCAGAATTGAGGTTTAAGTATTCCTTCCATTTTATGTATTAACTGTAAAATCCATACAATTAATTTGAGGGATTTCTTTGTTTCCTGGGGTCATGTTGCATTCTGTTTGGTTTTTGCTTGGTTGCCTGGATTGCTTTGGTTTGGTTTTGTTGGTGTTTTTGGGGGGGAGGTGGGGGAGGAGAAATGGTCTGATGGTAAATTATAAAAGAATGCTGTGCTGGTGAATCCAGCCACATAACTATTACGTGTGTGAGTGTTAGTTTATTGGACACAGGGCTACCAATGATTAGCAATGACTTGGTCTTCTTGGTCACATTACAGTGAGAAGTTAAGGAAATAGAAAGAATGTGAGCAAATGCATCTGTAAGATGGGTGCTGAATTGGAAAAAAAAATTGAGTAGCTACTGTATAATGTCAGCATAATAGTATTGGCTAGCACACTGCTATGTAAAGTTCTTCCAGCTTATTTACTGTCTTAAAAGTTACCTGTTCTTGTTAAAAGGCAGCTTGGTACATCTGTTTATTTTCAGTGTTCATGTGCTAAATTGAATCATCCATTAATTCTGTGAAGTAAAATGTTTAGCATCCCATGGGAAAGCAATAAGCAACATTTATGTAGCAGTAAAGAAAATGGATGATACCTGTCTATTCACATTTAATATGATAACTGTATTTGCAATATTGCTATCCTGCTGGTATTCATGTTATATTTTGGGCTTCTTATAAATAATGAGTATCTACCAAGTACCAAGAATGTCCTTAAAAACAGTGAACCAGATTTCTAATAGCTGTAAATCCTCAGTTCCTACCCCTGCTTTTACTGCACAGTATCAAATGTATAGTCTGGAGACCCAAAAGTATTTAGACACAAGTGGAGTAATGGCTCATGTTTTACTAAAGATATTCTTGCTTGGATTCAGATTTCACGTTCTTGACAATGTTACTTTGGAATAATTTTATTTTAACATGTAATGCTATTATCTTTAGTGGCATATGCTGAGTGTAAAATCTCTTTTATTTTTAGTCCCTCGTGAGAAGTAATGCATAAATCACACTTTGGGCTGTAACAGTTTAGACCCATGAAGAATTAGAATAAGAAGAGGTCGTAAGCCTGAAATGTTTCCGCTTCTGTTCCTATTAATTTTCAAAATACTCTTTATTACAGTTACCTCCTTCGTGCTTATTTCTGCGGCTTTACAGGACTTTTTTTTTTTCTTTTTTGTAAAAGGCTTTTTGCTGAATGTTTACTTCTGCAAGCAGCAGTGGAACTAATAAAGTTTGTGCTCACAGATTGATACTGTACATAACTATCTGAGCTCTTACAGTGTCTTTCCACTTGATTAATGTTTGGGATAGGGCTTTTTTGACAGCTTGTGTATGAACTCAATCAGCACCCCTTTTTCCAGGCTAGGTATCACAGCCTGATGTATCTGAAGTTTGTATAAATACAAAAAATTAAGTTTGAATTGTTGAAAGAGACATGGCCTCACAAACTTTGGCTTCTTAGAAAAACAGGCTGAACACAGAGGCAGAAGCTGCTGTTTTCAAGTTAGCAGCAGGAGTGCAGTAATTGATGTTGTATTCAAGGAGGTTCCTTAGGAAGAGCCTGGAGGCAGGTATACGTTGGGCAAAAGTACTGAAGCTATCTCTGAGGCGTATAGTTTTGATGCAGCAGCATCTGGACTGTTTGCTGTGTTGAAATTAAGAAGTTATGGCTACAGATACAACTTTGCACGTCAGTCGAATTCTGGTATTTGTATGGATTTTTCTCATCCCTGTGGAGAAGGGGCAGAGGTGCCTCTGATTCCACAGTTCGTGAAGGTTTGTGAGCAGTGGTGGCAGTGCAGATGATAGAGAGCTGGACCTGGTGAAGTGGGACATGGGCTGCATCTGTGTCTTCCCTTCCTGGAAGCATGGGATTATCTCGGAAGTGGGTCTGTCAGCAATCTGTGCATTTCTTGCTGCAAAATAAACATCTTCACTTCCGTAACTAAGCAACTCCTATTTACATAGGCGCTGACTTTCAGAAGCCGTAGTGGCGTCAGGGAAATTAAACCTGCTGCCCAGACAAACCAATTTCCACTCCGCACGGTGATTTTAGCCAGCATTGGCACCAGGTCTGTCCAGCTGGATCATACAGATGTGGGTTACAAACCTCTATGATTACTGATCTTTGTTCTTTGTGCAGCCAGACTACAGGTCTAGAAGAGAAGAAAGTCTGCTTTGTTTCTCCATTTATTGTTAAAGAGTTGTTTACAAGTTTCTGAAAGTTACATTTGACTGCATGTGATGCACTTTGTAAAACATTAGCTGGAAGCTTAATGTGACTTGTTTTTTTTGATTACATGAACTTTTCAGAAAGAAGTCTTGTAGGTGAATGTCTTTCACAGGCAAATAATTGGCAAGGTTGTTTGTTTAAAACAACTGCTCTATTCTTGCAGTGAAAAATTTCCTGAGCATATTTGGTCTGAAAATGACTGACCCTTGGGCTCAGAAATTTTACATTCACTTTTTGAAACAGTCGCTGGTATTTGCAAGAAAGGAGGCAACTTCTTGAAATAAAGATTTGAGGGAGAGAATGAAGTGGGTATCAAGTGGTTTTGAAGAGGCTCACAGGGCTTACATAAACGTGACAGGCCATTTGGTGAAAAGATCTTTCCTAGGTTTTCTACTCCAACTTTCACTGTGAGCTGAGAAGGCAAGCAGAGCAGTAATGGAAGGGTGATGGTATGAGATGCCTTTCATTGTCCAAAGCTGGTGTGTACCATCACTGGTACACAGGTATTGAAGCCATGATTGTCTCACTCTTGGCATCACTCATCATACAAAAACAGGAGTAAATTGGAGAAGGTTGTTTTTACTTCTCTACCCTTCTGCATGACGAATTTGTAGCCTTTTGTCTTAAGAGTCTGTCCCTTGGTGATCATTAGCCCTGATCCTGGCAGCGTAGGTCACAGTAGTGCAGCTGAGGACTTAAGGCTTGCCTGATTCACAGGGGCATGGGTCTGTATAAGGTGCTGGCATATCACTGTAGATCACAGTAATTACCTATTTCTAGGCAACTAAATGAAACCCTCAGCTTCAGCTCTTAACACAGATGCGTATCTTAATCAGGTTTAGGTTTCTGTACAGATGTCCTTCCTTACCTCCGCTCCCTCTGCTCGGAAGAAAGGGAATGATGAACATGTTTTTAATATTCCATGAAAGGCAAGGCATAGTGCAAAGCAGTCACACAGATGTCCCATCTGTATTCCAGATGATCTGTATTTCTTCACATGTGTCTGTCTGGCATCTCTAGGAATATGGTGCCGCTTGTACATTTTTCTGCATCTACTGACATGCTGCTAGTGGCAATATGCAAAGCTTGAATTCCCATCTCGTTTGAAAATGGTGGTGACCTCTGTATTAGGAGTTGAGGGCTTTAGCTGGGTTTTGTTCTGTTTTAAATACCCATCCATTTGTATCAGAAGAGAAGCAGAGATCTGGTCAGTAATTGTCCTGTAAAGATATTATTCAAGTTAATCTCCATAAACCTCTTTAAAGAGGTTTGACATGCCATCCTTGGTCATGTGTTAGCACAAGCTTATTGCTGCTATCATTATTATCATCAGAACATTTGCTGTTTTCATTCAGTAGCAGCATGAAATGTTTAACTGTTTCCTCATTTCTACTACAGCTAATAAAGAGTAGAAATTGTAAGTGGTAGTTTTGTTTTTATTTGCTTGTGTCTTTGTTTCTGAATTGCTGCCTTAAAGAGAATACCAGTTTCTCTGCTGGAGTGTGTTTGGTAAAATCCCTGTTTCCTCCCTACACTGTGGCACAGGAACATGATGTTCTGATGTTGAGCTTTGTTCAGAGTTCAACTCCCATGGTAACGGGCACAGCTGTGCATATTTAATGTGAGAAGATTGCCGTATTTCCAGCAAAGTGCTGTCATATTCAAGATACAATAAAGCTGAGAAGATAAACTGAGAAGGTAAAGCTGAGGAAGGAAAAAAAAAAAAAGAAAAATCACACTGATTATTGCTGTGCTCAGCATCATGAGATGGTTTGATCCACCACTTATTGGAGAAAATAGGGTCGTTTTCACTTTGCTCCCCTTACTCTGTCCAAATAAGTTTCACTTTTTTAGTTAATTAGTCTTGTTGAATTAAAGGAATCAGTTTCCAGTTTCAGCATGCCAGCTTCACAACTAAGTGTGGGATGAAAAGCTGCTTCTCAGCATGAAGAAGATGGCTGATGTGAGAGTGACAGTGAAACTGAAATTCTTACAGTTGGACAGGCTAGAGCCTTTCTATGAGGCCTGCTCCAAGAATACT